ATCATCCCAGGAGGAAACAGCATCCCTCTCACTTTCTCCAACAGGAAGGAGTATGTGGAAAGAGCTATTGAGTACAGGCTGCATGAAATAGACCGACAGGTAAGACTCTCTCTGATCTGAGTGCTGCTGTAACTACAGGTCTGTTTCAGGACTGTTTTAAAGTTTATTTTGTTAAAGGTGACTCCTGTGTGTAAAGTATTATTCAAGATCAGTACGGATGAAGACGTGATTACACACATACAGTCCACACCACACAAGTATTTGGACAGTTACACTTCCTCTCACCACACTTCTTTAGTGCTTCAGCGTATTTAATTTGAAATAAAATCATGGATATTAAAGTGACAAAAAATGTGTAACTGTGAAAAAGGAAACCCCTCAAGCTCTTTCCATCGGACTGAAGCAGCAAATTTAAGATTCAGTCCTACCCCGAACCCTAAACCTTCACCTGCCTGTCGTCCTCTCAGGTGGCGGCGGTTCGCGAGGGCATGTCATGGATCGTGCCGGTGCCGCTGCTGTCTCTGCTGACGGCCAAGCAGCTGGAGCAGATGGTGTGCGGCATGCCGGAGATCTGCTGCGACGTGCTGAAGAAGGTGGTGCGGTACAGAGAGGTGGACGAGCAGCACTCCCTGGTGCAGTGGTTCTGGCAGACTCTGGAGGAGTTCTCCAACGAGGAGCGGGTCCTCTTCATGCGCTTCGTCTCCGGACGCTCAAGGCTGCCCGCCAACACCGCTGACATCTCGCAGAGGTTTCAGATCATGAAGGTGGACAGGGTGAGTGGATCAGGATCTATGTGCTGCAGTTGTGCTCAAACATTTAAGGGTAACTCCATATTACAGTTTTACACGCTCGGGGGATATTCACTGAGGATTTGTGGCTTTTTCTTTAGGCTTTAAACAATGTCTGAGGTTTTGAGCAGATACAGTGAAAGAAGAGCAGCTCCACTGGGCTCATTTACATTTGTAGTCTTAGTTAAAATCTTGCTTCATTAAATAATTTGGTGATGCAAATTTTTTGCACCTCTGATGGTAATGCTAAGTCTTTGGACTCCGGCGCTGTACTTAACATCAAGCAGTACCCTCAGGGGCTGAAACATGAAGCCAACACTGAAGTGCTAGAAAACTGCAGTTCCTCTAATGGCCACTCGAGGCTGGCTCCAAAATCGAGTCGATCCCCAGTGACTCCCGTGTTAAAATGTCCAACTTTACAGCAGAAATAAACATGTTTACAGCCTGATACAAAAAACCATTCAGTTTCTATAACTGATTTCCCCCTTCATGACAACTGTCCAGGGGGTGAATTTTTATATAGTTCACCCATTTACATTTTATTAAACAGGTAATTGAAGGCGTGGCTGCTTTGAGTGACAGGTGTGAGAACATATGCTTGCCTTAAACCGTTTTCGAGTGAGGCACTGGCAAGATGGCGATGGCGGAGCAGCCCACTCTGAGCTTCAAATCTATGAGTGACGTCACAGAGGCTACGTCCATCTTTCTTCACAGTCTGTGTTTAACATCCAGATATGAAAGTGGTATCGATCCTCTTTTCTAACTCTCAAACAAAGCGAACAAATGCATTAATGCAGAACTATTCCTTTAAGTTTGCAAAAACAATGCCATCGCCAAAGCTCGTTTTCTTCCTCATTTATTTACAGAACTGGAGTTTTGATTCTTTACTGAATAGGAGACTACTCCTGCACAGTAGCTGTGTTTTCACTGTTCATTGTGAGAAAGAGCTGAATCACAATGAGCAGAATTTCTGCAGTGGAGACTTTACAACAGAAAGTCTTTGTTCAGCCTGCTTAATAGAAAGAAAGTGATTTGTTTGACATGTTGTTCGTCCACATTGGAAATCAAAAGTGTTTATAGTTGTTCTAAACGTCCACAGTCAAAGTGGAACGATACTCCATCCGTCATAGAGAGTGGGGAGACACTGTATTATTTAAATGTTGGGATAACCACACACATTTTTCTCCCCTGGAAGACGTTCACAGTGTTGCACTCAGTTCATATGAAAAGTGACAGAAATAGAAACGAAGAGAGAGCTGGAGAAATGTTCAAACCCAGCGTTTCTCACCTCCGCACGGCTGACCAATCATGGCATGAAGTGGGTGTGAATGTCAGATTTCAGAAAGCTACAGAAACGTCTTTGGACGTTTCTCACGTTTCTCACCGGCTTTTTTTAATGTGAAGTATTTTCTGTTCAAAGTGTTGAAGTGATGTTCTCTCTCTCTCTCTCCCTCCCTCCCTCCCTCTCTCTCTGTGTCATCCACAGCCGTACGACAGCCTGCCCACCTCTCAGACCTGTTTCTTCCAGCTGCGTCTGCCTCCGTACTCGAGCCAAGCCGTCATGGCGGAGAGGCTGCGTTACGCCATCAACAACTGCCGCTCCATCGACATGGACAACTACATGCTCTCCCGTAATGTGGACAACGCCGAGGGCTCGGACACGGACTACTGATGCAGGCAGTTCCACACGTGCACACATGAATAAATTAGAGTCCCAGGAAAGACCGGGCATGGACTGTCTTATTCAAACGACACACACGCACACACACACGCACACACACGCAAACCCAGAGATGTATCGTCATCACTGCATCAGTTGTAGGGAACTCCTGAGCAAATGGGCCACTTTTTACATCAGTTTTATGTACTTTAACAGCACAGGTTTTCATTTCTCCTTGTGGTTTATTAGCAGTTTTTAATGACACAAAAATCCACATGAGAAGTGCATTTAGTGTTAATTTTTTTTTTCCATTACTCCACATCCCATTTTCAGGGTTTCTGCATGGAGGTTATGTTTATTTGTTTGGAAATGTGTATAGAATATAAAAGCAAGTGACGGTGAAGGAAAAAAAAAAAAGAATATTGTACATTGTGTAAAATGCTTCATTAGGAAAATGTTTTGCATAATATCCATATTTATTGTTTTCATTGCCTATGCCGAGTTTCCCAAAGCATACAAAAAAAAAACCAACAATAAATGCTGCATAATTGATTTGTTGTTCTGCTGCTTAAAACAGGAAAAAAGAGACAAATGTTTTCTTTCAGAAAGCAGACGTCACATTTATTTCAGAAGTACAAAATATCACAAAGGCCATCTTTCAGGGGAGTAAATAAACTGTGAAAAAAACAAAACTATATACATGAAGGAAAAAACCTCCCGACATGTTTAAGCACTGTGTTCATGCTTTCTGATCGTGTTGGTAAACGGACAGGTTTGGATTTTTACACGCACGCCACACACGTTGACTGATTGGTCGTTGTCACACATCAGACCTAACACAGTGTCTGCACAGGCTGAGCAGTGAGAGCAGCAGCTTCAGTCCTCAGTCTGTCTGCACAGGATGCGTTCAGGTACAGCGTTGAGTGTAGGTCACCCATGCACACAGTCAGAGCTGGGTTTGTTACAGTTGAAGTGTTTCACAAGATGTCTGAACAACGCGGCTGAAACTCCTCCTCCGTCGAAGAGTTTTATAATGTGAGTCTTTGATTCATTCACAACCCACATTAACACTTAATTTTAAACTACTTTGTAAAATTGCATTGGTTCTGTTCAATTCACGGTGCCTCGCTTCAGTGATGTGCAAACAGGATTTGTTGTTGTTGTTGTTGTTGTTGTTGCGTCATCGCAGGCAACAAAAAGCCTCCCGTTTACCCACAATTTTTTTCATCTGCGGTGGCAAATCCAAAATACTTTAAAAATAATACGTTACTTCTTAGATGGTTTCTGATTATCCGTTGCCATTTTTGCATATTGCAACTAAAAGGTCAACGGTCTCGTTTCCCGCTCTTATGAATCCCTCCCAGAGGAGTACAAGGACCAACCTGCTGCTCTCACACTGGAGATTTTCAATTCACAGATCAAATATTTAATTTTTCTCACATTTCAATGATAGGTCAGATTTCAAAAGAAAAAAGGCCTTTGTCACTAGTTATTCCTACTTTCCATACAGGGTGTGAACCCGTTTCTACTGTTTGAAGAAATAAGGGACGAAATCTCGGTCTTCACAAAGATGTTTTTACAACTGGCTTCATAAGTCTGAGTTTGTCCAACCAAGTGCATTTCTTCCACAGTTACAGTATTTAAACTCCCTATTTCTGTTTCCTCAGACTATGTAAGTTTGTTGTCTGAACCAAACATCAGCAGTAAACCTCCAGGACAAAGGTATCAACATGATGACTCATTAGCTTCAAGCCAGTATGGAGAGAAATTAAAGATGACAGCAACCAATAATTAAATATTGTAACAAGATAAACTTGAAAAAATCCAAACCTGTCTTTTACATGGTTTCAAGTCTGGTTTCTGAGTTTTCCTCTGGGATCGTTCTGTGTCACAACAGTGTTTAAATCAAACAGTTTACAGACAGTCACAACTGGTGACCAAATATATTAGAAGGTCTTCACGAAGGTCAACCAGCCTGAACCTCACACATGCAGCGTGTAAAAGAAGAAAACAAACCACGACCGTCCAACTTCCCGTGAGGTGAGAAAGAGCTGGGCAACAATTCAGTATTATCTTAATCAACTCTCAGTGGGTGTTATATCATGTGCTGCTGTTTAAATCGATGATTTTAAGCTAATTATAATTAAAAACTGACAAACTGGTAAATTTCAGTATTGGAAAAACAGTTTCCTCCCTGAATCTACTGTTGAACAAAGGTTGTTAAAAGTTTGAGATGTTTCTACCCGACAGCAGCTCGTCTCTGATGTGGTCAAACTGTGGTGTCAGCATGAGGTAGAGGAATCATTAAAAACCTAAAGAGAAGCAGATCAAACAAAGTAACAGTCAAAGTATTCAGGTATGAAAACCAGAGGTCTCCATTAAACCTAATGTAATGTGCATTCATTCATATTTAGGTCCATAAATACGATCGTGTCCGTGTGTTCAGAGGAACTCTGCTCATGATTTCTGCCTCTTTTGTTCAGTCAGTCTTGTGTTGAGGGAAAATGTCTCAGCAACGCCGCCCCCCCCCCCCCCCCCCCCCCCCTCTGCCAACATTGTTTTAACCTTTGGACTCATTAAAAGATGAAATCCGTCCAACTCAAACAACCCAGAGGCCCTCAATTCCTCTCACACATGACCACTGTCGAGTCATCTGTGACTGAAACAACAGTCAAATCTGTGCTGTCATTTTAACCCAGAACCTCTCCTGTATTTTTGTGTCACACTCTGACCTCGAACAACTGAGCTGCAGATTCAAAAGAAGACTTAGAAGACTTTGAAACATGCTTTTTTTTAAGGCCTTTTAGTATCTTCAGGCTTTGTGGAAGCCATGTTGGGCCTGAAAGATGAGATCCTGTCCCCGGATCAACTGTCCTCTGTGGGCGGCTACGACGGCCAGCCTCCGTCTCCCATGGCCCTGGGAGCGATGATGCTGTCCTTTGCCTGCAGGAGTCTTTCCAGACAAGGCGAGCTGATCTTGAAGGGCAGCGGCCCCCGGCTCAGACGAGGGTTAGCGCTGAGGCGGCGCGGGGGCTCCGTGTGCGAGTCGGTGCTGGAGGAGACGGCGTTGTCTTGGGTCGCTTCATTGCTGCAGCGAGCGGACAGGGGGGAGGCAGAGGCGGCGGGCTGGCCGAGCGTCGATTCGAGAGTTTTCAGGGAACATATGGGCGACGTGTGAAGCCACTTGAGGTGAGTGGAGGAGTACAAGGCTGTCGGGTCCACATCTGAGATGCGGAGAGACGCTGGAGAGGAGGGAGGGGAGGCACTGCTATGATGCTGCTGGAGGAAGAGAGGAGAACATCAACTGTAGTAACAAACAAACTCTAAACACAATTGATTTGACAAAGATTTCGTCTGTTCTTTCAGTTGCTTAAACGTCCCATATTTTACACTTCCTGTGTTTTATTTGAAGTGTTGATCCATAAGAAGGTACATTTGTGTTTTTAAGAACCAAAAACCATCTCAGTGTAATTTTACATCTCCTCTCTCAGGCTTCTCTCTGGAGCTCAACAACAGGTCAGTGAGCCAATCAGAAGAGAGGAGGCTCTGAGCCCGTGTTCTGAATGGCTGATTGTTTTCTGAGTGATTGAATAAAAATAAATACATCAGGTTTCAGGTAAAAACACTCAGGGCAAACACTAAATCCTGCAGGGGTGGATGGTGGGTCTGAGGGGGCGGGGCTTGGGGCGTGGCTGAGAGCGGTGCTTTGTTGTGACATCATAAAGTTCCCGACGGTTCGTTTTAAGGCTCAGTGTCTGAATACAGGCTGTGTGCATTTCTCTGTGAACTGAGCGCTTTGACACTTTAACAGCATTAATATAGAACCTAGACCTGATCTATAATCAGAGAAGACATGGAAATCTACCTTTATACAATATGGGACCTTTAATAACTTCAAACCTGTCTGGAGGGATCTTTACATATATGTGAGATATGGTTGTGAACCAGCTCCTTCTAAACTGATTCCCTGACATTTAGTGAAGTGACTCAACCTGAGCCAAGAACAACTGATTAGTTTTTGCTGATGATCTGGATCTGAGAGGACAAACTGAAAACGACAGAGAGGGCAGATCTTTAAAGATGTCGAGATCCATTTCCCAGGAGAAATAAAGTGACTGAATGATTTGTCTGGTTTGCAGATGTTTCTCTTCTGTAAATCTTTCTACTCGCTCGGTTAAATTTAGTTTGGTCGTTTCCAAATGTGGATTTATCCGTCAAGAGAGTCAACACATTCTTGTGTGCGAGGCCGCTCTGGTTTTCCCCTCATTACTTGACCTCGTCTTATGAAACTGAGCCTGTTGCTGCTGGAAATCATCGCCAGCAAAAATACATTAATATATTCACGGTCCTCTTCCAGGATCCTGTTACATAATCTGATTCACAGCTCTCTTCTTACCATCAGAGCCTCATTACCAAGAATTCAGACGCTACATTAACTTTTTGATGTGCAGGATTTTTTATCTTTGTTATTTTTAGAGCTGCATCTTATGACTATTTTCGTTACTGATTAATCCACCTATTATTTTCTTGGTTAATGGTTTATAAAATGTGGAGAGCATAATGACAGTTTCGAATGTCTTGTTTTGTCTGACCGACAGTGTAAATCTAAAGATTCACTTTCACAGATGAATACAGACACCAGAAATATTCACATTAAAAAAAGCTGGACTGGACTGACTTGCTCATGGATTAATCCTTGCAGCTGCATTATCGTTAACATATTTTACCTTTTGCTTCTTCGGCGGAGTGCTGTCGTCTGTGTGGAGCAGGCTTGGTTTGATATGAGGGAACCAACTCTGAAGCATTTCTTCTATTTTCAGTATAATGCTGAGGAAGCGTCCACTAGAGGAGAACAGAGAAAAACAGTGTTGTTATTATTATTATTATTATTATTATTAGTATTCAGCTTCTTCACTAAGGTAAAAGTAGCAACACTACAAAGTAAAAGTACTGCATCACTAGTTAAAGTCCTGCAAAGAGCATGTTCCTCAGGTGAAAGGATAGAAAAAATGAACTGAACTTTAAGGCTCAAAAGTAAAAGTGCTCATCATGTTTTATCTGCTGACGTTGGTGGAGGTGGAGAAAACTTTAACTGCTCTAAATACGATCTGAAGAAGATATTTCTGGTTATAATCAGGTGCTAAAAACATCTTCCTAAAAGTAGTAAATTAATCTGTCAGTGCAGTAACAATAAAGTTCTGTATTCAACGTACATTCAGTCTTGAAAATAAGAAGATCCCGCATGTTTCGGTCTCTCTAGACCTTCATGAGAAGTATTTTAAATATTGTAAGTCTTTTCTTTAAAGTAAAATACTTCTGGTGAAGGTCTAGATAGACTTAACATTAGGATGATAAATAAATTGTGACCGTGAGAAAGACTGAAGTGACACTGCTGCATCTAAGACATTCGGATGTGCGAGAAAACCTGATGTTTATAGCTCGAAACACTAAAGACTTAGGCAGATTGCTGATGTGGAATTAAGTCAAATTAAATTTGCTATAGAATATACTGTTATACAAACGAGAATTTGCATTGGAAACTGGATTCTAACACTTTGTCAGATTAAGATTAAGAAAATAAGAAGAAACAACATTGACAGGGCATAAGTTGATATGGTGAACCCGTTACCTAACTGTATCTTATTTCTACATCCGGCATCTATGGAGCAACATTATCATTCATTTAGATTTGTGTTTATATCCATCTGATGAATCTAACTAATCTAACTCCAGTCTTCCCTCTCTTTTAGCTGTGTGTTTGGTCTCCACCAGCTCCTGAGGGAAATATCTGGCTCTTTAGCAGCTAAACGCTCCACCGTGTTCACCAGCTGCCGAAAAACGATGATGAGAGCGGTGAGAGTGAACCAGGACAGTAAAGTGTCTGGACAGAAAAACAATGAGCTGTAAAGTTGAGGGCAGGATTCTCTGTAGGGTCGTCACTACGAGCGACACCTTCCTCATTGTCACTTTAAAGACTCGATTACAAATGAAATGACTTGATAAGAAGGAGATTTTGTCACTGAACAGAGGGTTTATAAACCAGCTGCTACAACAGATGTCAAATCAATGTAGTGGAGTAAAAAGCACAGGATTTACCTTTTGAAATGTATTGAAGAATAAATATAAAGCAGCATAAAATAGAAACTACAACTATAGTCTAGTTTCTCCAAACTGTATTTAGTTACAGGACAAAGTGGTGAGTGAGTGATGTGCTGCTGACAGGACGAGGTGAAGTCATTTGTTTCTTCACACTGTGACATTTTTCCAGCAGAGGAGTTTTCAGCTGCAGATTACAGAGTCGGAGTCGAGCCGCCCTGCAGCTCAGATGGCTTAGGGATGTCTCGCCAATGGCCATTACATAAGCCTTATAAAGCCTCTGCCAACACATTAGGCGCTCTGCCTTTATCTGATTGGTGGACAACATGAAACAGCACAAAGACTGAATAAATAAAAAGGCTGCGAGGGGGCGAGTGGCCGGCTCATCTCTGTATATGTGCATTCCTGTCCGTCTGTGTGATGCTATCTGAGCGCACGTCCACATACAAGCATCACATGACAAGTACAGAGGAAGACAAGCAGTGCATGTTCAGTTCCACATGAGAAATGTGACCGCAGCGAGCCGCTACTGCGGCGCTGCTACACACATGCACGCAGGCTGCAGCACACACGTGGCAGCGGGGGAAGGCCCTCGTTCCATTCACCGGCTATAAATAGAGCAAAAGGCCCCGGAGCAGCCTGCTGAGGCCCCGCCCTCCGCTCACAGCCATGAGATGGAGTCAAAAAATGAGCGACTTCAGCCAGGACAGCATCACATCACACAGACACACACCGCCCTTCTCAACGTCACACTATCAGTCTGTAGGGTTTCATACACTCCAACACAACGGTTTGGCATTAGTGGAAGAAGTACTCTGTTACATGTGAAAGTAGAGAAGTATTATCATCAAAATGTACTTCAAATATCCAAAGTAAAAGTATTTCATCATTATTATTTGTCATATTTCACTCATTACGCAGAACGACATATTTCAGAACAATATTTACAGCAGTGTGTAAAAGATTTAGGCTCTTGTCTATCACACAGCACCATCACTCGGCTGATAGGCATCAAAAATTTAGGGCTTTAACTAATAATTATTTTCATTATCAGTTCATTGGCCAATTATTTTCTCAATTAATCATTTAGTCTATAAAATGAGTTCAAGTTGACATCTTCAAAAGTCCAAAGTTATTCAGTTGAATTAGATCTTAATGTCTAAATTTTGCATTTAAAACAATTATTGTTCAGTTACATTACATTATGTTAGGATTAATATTATTAGAGTTTAATTTGATTCGACAAAATACTCTTAACTCAAAGTCCACTTACTAGCTTTGCCAGACCTTTCAACCACATATGATAGTTTTCATTGGAGTCAAATGCTGACAATCGAACCAGTTTTATGACACATGAGCAAACACCAAATGATAATGAAGCCCATGAGGTGCAGTTAAAATCTCTGGAAAAGCTCAAGTCAAGATTACGACTATTTCCAGCTCTGCCTCAATTACAAAAACAAAATAAACTTAAAAATGAAAACATGGTATCAGTATACCACCAACCACAGCCTCACAGCTGCTGACGCTGTGGAAGAGGAGGTGACTGAGTTTACAATAAAAAAAAAAATACTACATTTTTAACGAGGATAGGATTTATTCCACACTGGGTCACATGAGCAGGTACAGCTGTTTCTGTTTCAGGTCACTGTGCGGACAAGTGAGGAACTGAGATTTATTTCACTTCAGAAAGGGAATCCTGTCGCTACAGCCTGGAAACCTTTACATTTAACTCACTAAAACTAAAACTGATCGGACATCAGCTGTGAATGGAGGCAGCAGCGTCGACCTCGCTGCTGTAAATGTCTCAGTTAACCTTGACTTTACGGCCTCTTCACTATCAGCATCGCTGGATTTGCTGCCATGTCTTGCCGCCTGTGTCGATGCACTGCAGCGATTTTATTCTGCCAAATGTGAAACACCGGAGCCTAAAAAAACATCCAATTTGTTCTGGTGGTGGATGACTCAGATATTTTCCCCACACCGCAGGAAGCATGTGTGTTAAATCTGACATTACTGGGACAGATCTGACGCCACCTACGCCGCAGCGCTCCATGTGTGGTCCAGCTCAGACGCTCGGTGTTAAACAGAGATGTTCACTTCACAGCCCACATGTCAGTTTTATGTGTCACACTGGGAGAAAGTGTGGAAATGTACAGTGCAGTATAAGCTCTGTTTTTGTTACAGAAAGCAGGTCAGCCTCTTGGCCAACAGAAGAAACAGTTGACCTGCTGCTGGATCACTCAACAGCATCTGAAACCACATTGACAAAGGCACCAAACTGTGTCTGACAATAAGTGTAACTTCTGGAAAACGACAAACTGACATTCACGTCCTCTTCACGCAGCGACTCTCTCTGATGTGCGGAGGTAAGACAACAGTTTGAACTTCTGTCTCGAGCTCTGTTTTTCTGTTCCTCACATAACATCCGTCACTTCTCATGTGAACAACCAAGTGCAACATCATGAATGTCTTTGAGCAGAGACTGTCTGAAAGTGTTTGATTCAGCACGTCAAATGACACAAATGTAAACGTCAACGCAAACATTACGCGTGAGCGAAATCCAATATTTAAAATCTCTATATAGTCCTGTCCAAATATCACAATATACAATACAATCATTGTGGGGGGGTGAGGTTGTATTTTATTGTTGTATATAATATTCAATAATACATAATTATTAATTTTTACAATTTATTATTATTTAATTGTATGTTATTTTTCATGTATAAGCGATGCTGCCACGAAACAGGAGCTCAAAGTTTTATTTGTCACATGCCTGCAGTTAAAAGCTCTAGTAAAAAGATCTTAATCAAGATTAATTTGTCCATCTAATATTAATAAGGCCAAGAAGTCCGTTATAGTTTTGTTTTGTGACTTTTATTTATAGTGTAAACAATTTAAAATTCATTTATATTTCCTGTAACTGTCACCTGTGGTAATTAAGTTTTTATTCAGCTGTAAAATATTTGTACTCGGACATCGTTGTCACAAAATGTTTGTTCATCTTAAGTGTTTATATAAAAGTCAGAACTGGCCATCAACAGATTTTTATTATTCTCAAGTATCAATAGCCTTCAAAATAAAAGTAAAATGACAGAGTTTAGGATGTTAACTTCTAAATGTAAGAATCTAAAAGTCCACGTTCAGCGGAGTCCTTCAGACCGTCACAGGAAATTAAACTCACTGACGTCAGATGTCAAAGTTTCCCTCCAAATAATTCCCTGCTTTTGTTTTAATCTGCACTTAGAAGCACGTGGCTGCAGTGAACTGTGTCTGTACGGTGCTGATAGAGTCGTGTGAGCTGTAAATCACAGACAAGTGTATGAAACGACCTTCAAATGTTTTCCTGTGATTGTCAAACAAACTTCACGGCGCTCACTGCACCTTCATATCAGATAAAATCTGTCCACCTGACATCAAAGGCTGAGATGAGCTTTAAAAATGAAGATGGAGACCAGCTGGAAACAGCCTTGTAGCATTTGTGTATTAAGCCTGTCTGAAGTCGCTCAGAGTCATATCTCATGTCTGTGACGTTACCGAGGGTCGTAGAAAGTCCAGGAAGAAAATATGAGGCAGGGAATAATAAGTTAGTCTCTGTGAAATTTGTCCTTTCAACAACATCAAATACATTTGGTTTAATATTTGAAAGTTTGTCATTTAAATTATTAATGTTTGAATAAGAACAAAACCACCCCTTTGTTACGGTTAAATGTCATGAGAAATGAAGGTTTTATTAAAAAGTCATCTGTCGTCCTGTTAAAGTGCTGTCTGCAAACCACTGTCTGCACCAAAGATTGTTTGTGAGGGAAGACGCTCCACTCTGTAACACCTCTGTACCATCTCATCTTTTATATCATATCAATAATTTAAGCTCATAAACTTAATATTTGTGAACAAAGACCTTCAGTGTTTAGATCAAGAGGCTTGTGAAAAATAATGTGTAATAAATGAAGTAGGTTACTGCTGTTATTTCAATACATCAGATACATATTTCAGGTGAATATAAGTATTGGATCGGACACAGATTGATCGGGACAGTCCCAGTTGAAGACAGTTTGAATAAATGTAAGAAAAGCAGCCCTGTACCTCTGCTCCTTAATGAACAGTAACCATCAAGTGCGACCATAAGTGTGTCTACCTTTCCAAAACTATTTTATCTAACACGCATTCCTGCCTGTGTTCAGTCCTCTGATGGTTTTAACTGCTGTTTATCTGACGTGTGGCTGTTATCTCTCTATCTGATCCAGGCTGACCTGGGACTGAAAAAGGGTCAACACAAAAAAAAAAAAAAAAAAAAAAAAAAAAAAAAAAAGAAAAAAGAAAAAGGAAGCACTGACGAGGAGATGTCGAAGCTGCTGAAGCATTTCTAAAAAGGTATTTACCCCATGTTTGGATTCTGAAGGACCCCCAATATTCTCTGGATACGATCCATAGCGACGCTCTCTTGGAAACTGCTGAGACCTGCAGGAGAAGAGAGAGAAATCTGCCTTGAGCACGAGGAGAGGCACGTGGCTTTTCAGCTCGCCTGACCACAGATCTATCCACGGTACCGATCATGACCTCTGCTGTGTGACATGAAGTTCTGTACAGACTTTCAGGTACACACTGAGGTACACATTTGTGGATTTAGTTTTAAATGTTGTAAAAAAAAAATATTGAGTGGTTTGTAATTTAACGCTCCCGTCGAGATGAATTGGAATACATTTTCTGATACCTTGATTTTCATCTAGCGCCATTGTCAGGTCTAAATTTCAATTTGTCAAATACTTTGTTTTATGACTAAATACCTGCAATACTAACTAACTAACAAATTAATTACCCAACTAATTGCTATCGGCCTCAGCTGAACTCTGTTTAGTGTTGAAATCAGAAAAAAAGTGGAAAATGCCTGTTGTAATTTGCCTAAGGTGGCATCTTCAAATGTTTTGTTTTGGCAGACCAACTGTTCAAAAATGTTTTAATTGTTTAATTTGCTCTTGCATGGCATTAAAAAGCATCAAATCCTCACATTTGAGGAGCTAAAACTAGCAAATACCTTAGGCTTTTATTTTGAAGGACCTACAAGTTTGCATGAAGAGCTCACAAACATAAAAACATTCCCATTTTCACAAATTGACAAATACATTTCTAAATAAACAGTAATCCAAACATGGCTGGTCACTTAATTATTTCTTTTTTTTCAATCAAATGATGCTGAAACTGTTTCATTTAATGTTAGAAAAAATCTATGTAATGATGATCGTTGTATTTTGTGTCCATATTTATTTGACAAAATATCTTATGATGATGATGATTATGATGATCTCCGAGTGCATCATCTCATACCCTCCGCACACAAAAAAGCGGAAGGACTCGGTTTATGACTTTACTGCTCTTTTATTTGCCACAGTAGCATTTGTGTGCAGGAAGAAGTGCAAACAGCTGTTCTTCAGTCCATATCTCACCTAAATCATGTACAACAGCGTGTCTTTGATCCAGTCTTTCATCTCTGAAGCACTCTGAGTTTAAAAGGATGTTAAATGACTCGTGACAGCTTTGATCCCTTCCTTTGTTCTACCACTGTAATTTTCAGTGAGCACCGTGCTTCCCTGAATGTTTCACTCTGGACAGTCAGTTTCGATATATATAAATATATTTCACATATTCATTAAGAGGAGAAAATCTTTTGAATCACTTGATGAACAAAAGGAATGTACCACTGTCATTTATCATCAGATGAATTTAAATCTCAAATTGTTTACCGATTAATCCTCTGTTGTAATTACATATGTTATGACATTTTATTCCGTTATGTTAAACATGTGCAGACACCACTGGGAATAATGGAGGAAGGCGAGGAGGAGGGCAAGCTGGACAGTTGACACAAGCTTAAAGAAACGACCAGTGTTTAAAAATGAGAGCAGAGCATCGTTTTGCTTCCATAACTGGACGTTTACAGCTGAAACAAGATGTTGGGGAAGAAAATAATGAGGGGCGGTACTGTCAGGTGTGAAATCGATGGAGCAGCAGCTGGATGAAAAAGATTAATGTGATGGGTGGGTCAGACAGAGAAATTCCTCATAAGTCAAGTAATGGTTGCTTTAGTAAAACAGGTTTGCAGGCCCACTGGTGCTGCATGAAAAATCACAGGATCACCATCATTATCCAAGTTCATGGCAGTTCATCCAAAGTCTGGACCAAAAGTCTGACTGACAGACTGACTGACCAACATCATGCTACTGAAAATATTCTGTGTGAGTTGGGTCTGATTCAGGAGAACATCCAGTGAAATGCCTTTATAATCAACCCCACTTTGGGTCAGCCATACTAACATGTTGTGTTTACAGCGGTGTGATCTGTACAGAATGTGCCCATTAACAAACCCGAGCAGTGAAATCTGGAGTTAGACACTTACGTTCAGAGTACCTGCCTGATCTCAGGCCCCGCAGGATGGACGACAGCGGCTGGATGTAGCACTGCAGCTCCGTGCACTGTGTGGAACAGATAATTGAGTTAGCATTCATGCTATCAGCGCTGCACCACGTAAAGTGCTTTCTAATAGCCACTTACGTGTACCCATCCACAGCAGAGCGCTGCTTATTGTTTACCTTAAACTGAACACAGGGTTGCACAACTCACATAATCACCCAGACCGCAATTAATTTAATGAGATGAGTGAGAGAGTGAGTGACTGAGTGACTGACTGAGTGAGTGAGTGAACAGTGTGTATCGCTGCATAGTTACAAGCTTATCTGAATTTCTTCAATTTCTCATTCTGTCAGGGACTTATTGATTTACAGCTTATTGACTTTTCACCCGTTAACAATCTCTCCCATTTGATGCCATTAGCCTCGTGTTAATACTAAAAGTAGATGTCCGCAGGCTCCTTCAATAAGAGGCTGCCATTAACAGCAGAGAGAAGCTAATGGAGAAACTGATAGCAATCAACGCCTTCACACGTGGCTCGCCAAGCTGTCACACTGCCGCCTTCTTCCGCGAGCATCACTCTGTGCCTCAGACTGATACATGAGATGCGATAGCACCATCAAACTGGCACAGTCAGATCCTGTTACACTGGCTGATATCACCAGGCTGATGTCAGTGCCTCTCTGCAGCTGATTTGTCACCTAGAGTTGTAGTTTACTTTTAGGGTGCACCACTGTGTTGCTGTTTAAACATTATGACGCACAAAACCAGCAGCCAAGTGCATCGACTGAACCTGATCTGACGTTTGTGTATAAAATCAACTGTTAGTTTCCCACTATACTCTCATCTTGTTCAACTGCACCATCTGGATTTATGAGGTTTCTTATGGTGCGACATTCAGCTAATATGGGAAAGAAAAGCTCTTCTATCATTAGTCCATCTTTCTATCAGTTAATAAGGAAAGACTTACACCTGCTCAGGTGGAGTGTCTTAACTCTAACTTGTAACTGACGTGTGTGGTGCAACTTGTTTTTCAGTTATAGAGAGACTCTCCTGCAGCTGTGGAACAACAGCCATCAGGTCCATAACCTGGCCTCAACCTCATCCAGCACCTCTGGGATGACCTGGAACACCGACCGTGAGCCAGACCTGATCACCACCATCAGTGTTGGGCCTCACTAATGCTCCTGTGTCTGAACGAGAGCAAATCCCTGCAGCCACCGGTTAAAAGTAAGTAAGAACATTTATTTAAGTGCGGCCCTTACGTTTATCTCACAACTGCAGTAACTTTATTTAAAAGCTGAAGTGCAGGACTTTTATATATAAAAGAACATCCACTGCAGTGGATAGGTTTGTGTACTGGTGTGATGAGCATCACTCACACATTAATTTGTCTGTTGGAGACCGGAGCTCTGTTGAAGTACAAGGTCATGACATTACACAGCTGTTTTCTTACTAATACTCAGGTGTCCACACTGATAGTGAGATTAATTGGCACACACAGGTGGCAAGTGTCTGAATGAAAATCCATCCACACCTCCATTTCCTTCAGGGGCTTTGTCCACCAGAAAGCAAAAAATATGAGGGGGTTCTTATCAAGTATTGTATGTTAAGTACTTATCAATATCAGTTAGCCTCCAGTACTCGTTAGGCTCTAGTTTGCAGTATATGTGCAGGAGAAAACCTCTCACCTTGTGCCAGAATAGTTCATTTTCAGTGTCTGGTTGAGGCTTTTCACAGAGTCCACCTGAACCGGCTCCGTGTGCTCTCTTCCTGGTTGAATGATGCAGTGACTCCACAGAAAGTTTCTGCTGCCAACAAACGGAGGTAAATCCCTGAACTGGACTCACTGCTAGGGTCTTCCGGGCGGTGGGAGAGTCAACGCCTCCATCTTTAAAGTCACAGCAGTGACTCCGCCTCCTCTGGGTCACCCCAGACTGGAAGCAGCTTGTAGGAGATTCCTTTGATGATGTGGTTGATGATGATGATGATAATGATGATGATGATAATAATGATGATGGTGGTACTGGCAGCTCCTCTGCGCACTGAGGACTTAATCTCTTTGGGCTGTCGTAGTCGTCCTCATCGCTGGCGAGCCAGTCAATGGAGTAATCCGAGTCTGAAGTCGACATGATGGAGCTGGACTCTCAGCCAGCAGAGAGCATCACGGACCTGCCAGACAAACACACTGTGTTGTAAACAGTATGTCAACATGTTGTGATGAAGACACACTTTAACATGTTTCTGTGCAACTGCAGAGTCAAGTGTTTGGTTATACTTAACCTTTTAACCCTGGTGGGTCAGTCATTATAAACTCATGCCGTACAGTTTGTCCAAACACACTTAACTTTTTAAATTCTCATGGAGATCCCAAAGCTTGTAAGGATATCAAATATGTCAGACTGAATTTTGGGAAAATGTGTATAAAATGAGACATCTAAAGTATATTAATTTTATTGAAATGGCACAGCCATCTAAACATGGAGTCTTGAGTTTGAATACTTCTCTCAGTGTAAACATCATATGGCTTCAGTGGAGAGCTGGAACGAGCTTAAAGAGAATATAAATCACACATCAGACAGTCTGTAATGAGATGATTTTAAGCAACTTAAAGGTCCTAAATTGTTTAAAGGTAGATTTCCATGTCTTTTCTTGATTATAAAGCAGGTCTAGCTTCTATATTAAAACTGTGAAAGTATCAAAGCGCTCAGTCCACAGAGAAATGCACAAAAGCCTGGATTCAGACACTGAGCTTTAAAATGAGCCATAAGGACTTCTGTAACTTTGTGATGTGACAACTACAGTCACCATCCTTAACCACGGCCCAACCCAACTCAATGTCCAACCCTTTTTTTCTTTTTTTTTTTGCTGTTTTAACTTTATTAACAACACGACAAAAAGCGACCATTGTGTCGCTGAGCTAGCAAACTACATGTCGAGGAAACGCTGCACAATAGTTGGATGTTAGGAAGTCAATATATCATTAAACAGCTTTTCCCAGGGATAGTAACATCAGAGACCAGTGGCTAAAGTTAACTTTCTCAGAAATACCAGAGCATTTGAATCTGAATTTGACCATTTCTTCTGCTCATTTCATGGCTGAGTGACCGTGGCCATTTGCATGTACTGGTGAGTTTTATCAAGCTACAGTAGCAGGCTACTATCTGTTAGCTGTGGTTGGCCTGGCCGTGCCTCACTCAGAAAACAGTCAGATGAGAGGTGCAGAGAAAATAAGGATAATTATCATTTGTTGCAGCCCTTATTAAAACCCACAGTACTTTAGGTTCTAGTAGAGATCCCTTTTACAGAGCTAGTTTCCTCTTATATTTCCCCATGAGTAGCTTTAAAGTTGGAAAATATGTATCAGCTCGTTCCAGCTCCTCATTGAAGCCACATTATGTTTGCACTGAGAGAAATATTCAAAGTATTTATTTACTTATTTTTTGAATGCTTTCATCATTCCACACACGTTTCCCCAAAGTTCAGCCTATCATATTTAACCTCTTTGGAAATTTAGGGATCTCCATTAGATTTCAAAATAAAGTTCAGTAGGTTTGAACACTTGAGCTGCAAAGCATGAGGCTGTAATGACCGAGCCACTGGAGGAGGAAGGAAGGGACTCAGGGAAATCAAGAGGTTGAAAGGTTAATCAACATGCATAAATTAGCTGCAGCCTCATTTCGACAAAGACTCCATCAAAGCCATGATAAACACCTTAGACAGTTACACTCATACATGTAAATATAATGGATTTCAGACATGAGCTCTAGGAATTGGCAGATAAATTAGGAAACTGTTAGAAAAGGACAAGATGTGGACTAAGTTTATGCTTCAGCAGCTGAGAGAGAATCACATATTTCAACCCAGATCTCTTTATTTCAAAGTTCAACATCCACGTAGTCTGAGACGGGGCTGTAGCCACCAATGAGGACTGTAGATGATGAGGTTTGAACGACCTGAGGAGGAGTTTATATTCTACATTTACACACTTAATAATTCTGATCCTGATCTGTCTTTAAATGTGACTGTTGTTACACAAAGAATTTTGCTGAATCATTAGTCCATTGATTGACAATAATTGACAATTTGTCTCCAACTACTACTAATATAAATTAATATAAAGTATTCTTGGCGGTTCGACTGTTCGCAGACCTACAAAATACTAAAATCCATAAAAGAAAATGTAGAGATTTTGTATTTTTTTTGTGCTCCAATCAGAAAAAAGAAACTTATTTAGATTAAACATAACTATTATTTTCATTATTGATTAATTTATAGATTTAATTTTATTATTCAACAGATTTATCTTTAACATATCTAAGTCTTTAACATATCAGAAAACAGTAAAAATACCCATTGGAATTTTTTAAGCCCAAGTTGACATATACAAATGTTTTTGTTCTGTCCAACCAATTTACTGTCACTGAAACTTACAAAACCAGAAAATAATCACATTTTAGAAGCTTGTACCAGTGAATTGTTGGAGTCTATGCTTTAAGAATGGCTTAATCAGTTATTAAAAGCACATTCATGTTAGACTTATGAGTTACAGCTCTTATTTAGACTATCAAATGTAACCGAACAGTTAAACGAGTAAATAAATGCCACTATAATAGCTTGAACATAAAACGTTATGGATTTCTTGGTGGCTAGACAATTAATTGTAAGGGTGAAGGGTTTTGCTGGGGTCATTTTGACTTATGATGATAGTTTCTAAAAATCCTGGATCCAGCTCTGGTCTAAGTTCCTGTCATTCGTGTAAATTTCCAGTTCATCCAGAACATGAGTCCCGCACTCAGAGACATTACAGAACAGCGTCCTGAAATGACTGAATATAGAGGCCAGTAGATTAAATAACCCTCCTCTGCCTCTTCCAAATGGGCAGGTCGTCCAACATTATGTAAGAAAAAACATCCAAACACAGGGACCTGTTTCCCTTCGCCTGTCAGTTCACACACACGCACGCGCACACACACACACACACACACACACACACACACACACACACACACACACACACACACACAGCTGACACAAGTGACGAGATGTAAAATGCAGATTCCACAACTTCACGACTCTAATGTCTGCTGAGATGCTAAATTAAAATATGCATTAAAAGATTAAATGCTGTGGGAACTTCACTGCTACAATTTCACCAGCAGAGGATTTTTTTTTTTTTAACACAACCACAGAAATAACCTGAACTGGCGCGTTTCAAACCGCAAACATCACCTTTAAAATCCGTGTTTTTTGAGGGGTTTGTTGTTTCTCTTTTTTGCGCAGAAGCTTCTCACCTGCGCGCCACGACCCTCTCTCTTAAAAACAATAAAATATGAAGAATCCAGGTGAGTTGTGAGGAATGAAAGCAGGAGAGGCGGTAGACCGTCACTTACCAGAAGTGAACCGTGCGTTTCCCCCGTCCGGCTCGGTGATTTGAGGACATGCAGCAGCCGTGTGTGCGGACGCGCTGACGGAACAGAGCTGACTGATGATGGAGCGAAACCATGAAAGCAGCAGACGCAGGCAGGCGGGCGGGCGGTCGTCCCATCCAGCCCGTGCAGCCTCTCCCTGGGCAACGTGTCGCGAGAGGGGCGGGGCACAAACGTCTCCCTCCGCCGGTCTGCGCTCCTCCCCGCCCCTATCTGATCCACACACACACACACACACACACACACACACACACACACACACACACACACACACACACAGGAAACAGCCTCACAGCATTGTGGAAAAATAAATACAGGAGTGGGAGCGGACACGTGATTACGCCATGACGAAACACTGTACCGCGTCACCACCTTCAATTAATCTCCCATTGGATCAGAGTCTCATTGCAACACGTGACAAGCGAGAAGCCTAATTAATGCTGCCTTAAAGGACTGTCTGGATTTTTCTGTAGACAGAGGGGTGGAGAGTAATTGATAACTGTTTAATCATTTAAGTAATTTTTATGCAAATATGCCAAAAATTCACTGGAAACAGCTTCTCAAATGTAAAGATTTGTTGATTTCCAAGTTTTCTACGAAAGTAGAATTTTGTTTTTGACGGTTGGTCAGACAAAACGAAACAAATCTGAAAATGTTCACTTGGATTTCTGGGAATAATGAGGCAATTTTTGATATTTTTTTTATCCTTTTATACACTAATCAACCCACAGATTATTCATTTAAGATGTATTAGTAAAGAAAATAATTGTTGGTTACACTCTTACTTTATTGCCATGATAGAATAATACCACCTAGGTTGAGATTTTCTGTTACATAACAGAAAATAACATATAACAGATAAATAAATTAAAAGCAGGTGAACTGTCATGTTGTTATAATAGGTGTTCAATTATTTATTTATCAGAGGAAGAAAAGGTACATGGCAAGTTTTGCTACGATATATAGAGGATATTTTGGATGTTTTGTCTCATACTTATGTAAACTGGGTCCTCAGACACTGGGAGTGGGGCTGCTCGTGGGATGGAGGGCATTTTTGATGACTACTATTATAGGTCGTGAGCTATTGTCTCACAACCTGTCCTTGCACAAGTACAATGAGGACTCATCTGCCCACTGAACAATTTTTAAACTGACTGGAGAAAGAATTGCAGAAATGTGGCCCATTTCCTGTTTGTGGCTTCACTGCCAACTGTGTCAGAGCCAAATGGTCTGCAATGAAAGAGAGAGCTGCAGGAATGTTAATACTATTCAATCAATACTATAAAAAAAAAAATAAACTACTTCGGCAGCTCCCATGTGCTCCCATTTCAAAGGATATGCATTGCACTTAAATGTTCTTTTTAGTTTAAACCTGCGACCCTGAGATGATACTCTAACTTACATCTCATCCCACATCGCATATGGCACATGTGTTAGCATCTTCAATTGGATTGAACTAATATCATTTACCTGTCAGCCATGTGAAGTTACAGCCGAATGGTTTGGAGAATTAAAATACCCTTGTTCAGATGAGACAAGATTTTAGTGATAACTAGTAGAGAAATGTAGCTTTTCAGCAGCACCAGACAAAGACCAGAGAGGCAGGTGGAAACAGAACAGTAAGTAGAAAGAATATAAACAGATCATAAAACCCAATAATTATGACCTTGCACTGCTCCCATGCATGCAAACTGCATATGGTGCTGAAATGAAATTGTCATCATCAACAATAGTTCTTTTATTCAACCATAAATGAAGCAGGCCACTGTTTATCATGTGTGGATAGCCTCAGTTACATCTCTAGTCTTGGAGTCAAGGCTGGATTCCCAACTGAGAAAAGGCAGGCAATCACTCAGGGGCCCCGGACATCCAGGCACAAATTTGATTAATTTAAAGTTGGTTAAAATATCAACTATCGTCCACTTTGTGTTCCATGACTTGCAGAAAGACCCCATGTCACATTTATTTTTGAGACCTCACTTGTTTTATATGATATTGAGCTCATTTGTCATTATGTTTTATCAAATTCCTTTATTCTTTTCTATGTCATGTTATTAGATTTACAGAAAACCATATTATTCCATCACAGGAGAACTGTAAGGCAGCAACCAATAATTATTTTAATTATCATTACATCTGTCAGTTATTTTCTTTAATAATCAGTTGAACGATCAGTGTATAAAAAGACAGAAAATAGTGAAAATGCCCATCATTATTCCCTGAATGCCAAAGCTTTTATTTTCTGACCAACAGTCAAAAACTTAAAGATTTTGAATTTATTATCAAAGAAAACTGGGGAAAAAAACAGCAAATATTCAGATTTGAGAAACATTGCCAGTGAATCTTTTGGCATTTCAGCTTCAAAAATTAGTTAAAATATTAATAAATTATCAAGATTGTTGCCCGTTAATTTTCTGTCAATTGACTAATTGAATATTTGAGAGTACTTGTTGGTTTCTGAGTGTCTGGGGGAAATTACATTTATAATTATGGTAAACAGGGGCCCCACAACAAATGTTTGGCCCCAGGGCCCCAGAGTTGGTTGATGTGGTCATGCTTGTAATGCGACGCAAGACAAGTGTAAAATCTCCAGGATTAGTTCCAGGGGGAATGAACAACAATCCGCTATATTTATAATGCATAAATATATCAATAGGGATGAAATAACAGGAAGTTATCCGACACGGAAACAAAATTCTGCTGTAGTATGACCAAGAAAAAAAAGAAAAAAGTAGTGAAACAGCCTATTAAATGCATAAATAGACTAAAACTACTGTGTCATTATCAGACAGAAAACAGAGGCTACTTTTTTACTCTCATCTTAAATCCAAATTTTTACTGTCAAAAGTTTGATAAATATGAGCCCAGCTTCAGTAACAGTCTTCTGACACGAATGTGATCACTGCAGTTAACTGAGCCCTGCGTTAATTCCTCCGCTCTCCGGTGACCTCTTGCCCCTCACGTCCTTTCTACACTCATTTTACTCCCTGGCAGACTGAGCCTATCACTTTGTTTTCTACGTCGCCTGCTCCTTTCGCCTGGCAATGACTTGCACTTCCACTCAGCTTAAGACCACTGAAACCACAATTGTTCAAGTGTGTCATATCCTGTTAGTGATAACATTATACTGGATAAGAAGGGAAGAAAGGAAATCTTGAACCCTTTGCACATATTTTCTAACAATGGCCCTTTACATTCAGCTGTTCACTGAAGAATAATAAACAATGGGTTCATTAAATTTTTTTTTTAACTTTTTGCAGAAGGGGCTGAATAAGGTCGCCTGTGGACTTATGGAGAATACTCACTTGTGCATGAATTTAATCTGTATGATCCACAAACAGACAATGAACTCTGTGGCTGGTTGGAATAGAAACATCTGGGTTGTTTAATTCCAGGAGGGTTTTTAACCAAATCAAAAAGCTGTTGTCCATATGTTAATTATAGCAGTATATTTAAGTGCAGCTGAGTCACCTGATGACTCAGAGAAGATATGTGGCCATATGGATATTTAATTTACACTTTGACTCATAAAGTGCTGCTGCTGGTGCTCAGCATGATGGAGCTATGATACAGTGAATAACAGTTCAATCAGCACAGCTAAAAGTATGTGACTGTACCAATATACAATAGGCACATGTCATTTTTGGATGTGGTCCTTTTCCATTTGGATGATATAATGTTGAGAGACACAAGGGCTGCAACTAACTATTATTTTCATTAACAGTTAACCTGCCAGTTATTTTCTTGATTAATCATTCTGTTTATAAATGTCAGAAAAACTCCAAAAAAGATCCAGAGATATTCCATTTACAATGATATAACAGAAACAGTGTGTGTGTGTGTGTGTCTGTGTGTCTGTGTGTGTGTGTGTGTGTGTGTGTGTGTGTGTGTGTGTGTGTGTGTGTGTGTGTGTGTGTGTGTGCGTGCCACACAATCCCATTCATCCCTAATTAAAAAGGATTTCAGCTGCTGCCCTCCTGTAGTGTCTTTGAGATGAAAAGCCGGTGATCGAGGCTTTGTCAGGTCTAATGATGTGCACTAAGTGAAGTCGTGTGGGAGTTTAACCCTGAGGTGCAAACACACAAACTTATGTTAGTGTGTGTGTGAGACTCTCAAAGCTGTGTTATTATTCATTGGTGGTCGGCAGGTTTGATTGGCTTTTAGAGAGAGAGAGAGAGAGAGAGAGAAATGAGAGTAACAGTGGCTGAGAGGAATTTACAACAACATCATGTGCGTTCGTGACCAGATGAAGCGACTGTTGATGGACTATAACTGATGCAATAATGCAATAGTAGTAGTAAGCAACGTTTTCTTGTGAAATACTTCATGGTTTTACCCATTTAGACCTTTAAAAACTATCCAAGGGAAATATCTGAGAGGGAAATCTGTATCCTTACATTTCCTATGAAATGTATTTTAAAATGTAAACATCATTTCTAGGAGACAGGGATGTCCTAGTATTTATGTTCTTTACTGCTTTTAGTCACAGGTAATAAAACATGTACTAAAGGACCAAAGGATGTCCGTCAAAACAAAACAAAACAAATCAATAGATAATATATAAAAATCCTTATAAACTTAAACTGAAAGCAAAATATTTTTCCAAGTTGAATTTAGCAATATCTTTCCAAAGTAGTACTGACATCCATCATCACAACTTATTTTTCTCTAAATCAAAGAGGAAATTGTGTTTTTGTATAATAATTGCCAAAACAGCATGGCATGAATAGTACATAATGTTTTCTTAGTATTAGTATTAGAATATAGTATGTATTTTGGACACAGCTATGATCTAGAAGTGAAGTTTCAAGAACTACTTGAAATACAAAAATATTATGTATCATAGCTGGAAGAATATCTGTGTTCTCAGGTGAAAACCTCTCACAGTATGTACTGCCAACTTTTCAGGGGCAAAGAAAAAAATCCCAGTCTTTTTGTTTTTTCTAACTTGGCCACCTTGTAACAGAGTTTTAGAATCTCTCTTAGACTCACGTGGATGAGTCACAAACTGATTGCGCATCAGAACATGTAACTGTGAGCCAACTATGAGTGAAAGTAGCTGAGTTCAGCTGAGGTCTATATCAGCTCTGGTCTGGAGTCCAGTGAA